CAACAAAATACTTCTATTCTTTGAATTGTGTTCTTTTTATAGTCTAGATTCTTTTTCCACAATATTTATTTTCACTTTTGCAGAGTTAACTTGGTTATGCCTAATGTGAAAAGCTTCACTTAGCTCTTCCGTTTGCTCTGACAGAGTTTAGGTACATTCTCCTTAGCAACCTTCCCGTCTTATCTGGGGTAATTCTGTTTTTCCCTAGGAGTTAGAATTTGGAAACTGAGTGCTGCTTTAAATTTGCCTTTAGACCTTCTGCTTTCTGGTAATGGTGAATAAGTTTATTCAGACTAATTCTCCTACTGAAAGCAGCAAAAAATGCTGGATATGTTATTAATGTTGGATTCTCAAAAGCACTGAAGATTGACAATATAGTAAGAAGTTGTCATGTCAAAAATGAAGAAAATGTGGCAAAGAGCAAGGAAGCTCACCATTATTAACATGCAATATAGACATTAAGGTAAAATGATTACTAGAGGTAAAATGATTACTATGTTTGAAATTTTTATAAAAATAAATGTTTTGATTCACCAGAGATACATAACGACTAAAACTTTTTGTGTTCCCAATAATACAACTTCAAAGTATAAAAGCAAACACTGAGAGTCCAAGGAGAATTAAACAAACCCACAGTCATAATGGTAGCTTTCAGTATATTTCTTTCAGTAATTGACAATACAGGCAGAAAAAACAGATGTATACCACCAGTGGTGTACAGTGTTGTTGACACAACTGTTGCTAATGGTGATAATACTGGAAATAACCTACATGCACATTCAAAGAGTGAGCAGCAATTAAAATGAATGAACTAATTTACAGTTATAACACAGGAAGATGTGGAAAACATCATGTAAAGTGAACAATGCAAATTTGAAAAAAGTTGATATTTTTTACCACAGAGGTAATACTACATATTGTTTATAGATAAAAATACACATCTATAAAAACATACACAGGAAGGTATATGGCTTGGGTTACTTTGGGGGATGGAAGGAGCAAGGGAGGAAAGGAGAAAATGTGATGGAGAAGGACTTTAGTTGTATCACTAACATCAAATTTCTTTAAATAAAAAGTTCTAAAGCAAGTATGACAAAGTGCTCACAACAGTGATAAGTTCACCACTTCTTAGCTGTTTGATCTTGGGCAAATTACTTATGCTTAACCTTTATGAGCCCCAGTGTATGTCTGTAAAATGGGTTGCTAATTTTACCTTTAATACATGGAGTTTTTCTGAGGATTAAATGAGGTAAAGGCATTTTTTTGTGTAATAACCCCATAGTAAACACTCTCTAAATCATGGCTATTATGATGAGCAAGAAAGTGTCAAAAGCATCCATTCAGATGTGAGTCAGTAAAGACAGATGTGAAAATGTACATTCCCAAGAGAGATGACATATGGCACTTTAGGCTCTGAGTTTGTCCTTGGGTAGACAGCAGGGCTGAATTTTTTTAATTGTTCTGCTCTATTGGGTGCAGGGTCTGTCTCCTCTGAAGTGTGTGTGTGTGTGTGTGTGTCTGTCACGGGGGTTATGTTTATTATGAGAGTGGGTGATGAGGGCCTTTACCTCACACAAGGCACTGTGTGATCTGGATTCTTCCAAATTCAAATCCCAAATTTCTAAAGAATGGTGGGCCGGGCACCGTGGCTCACACTTGTAATCCCAGCACTTTGGGAGGCCAAGGCGGGTGGATCACCTGAGGTTGGGAGTTCAAGACCAGCCTTACCAACATGGAGAAACCCCATCTCTACTTAAAATACAAAATTAGCCAGGCATGGTGGTGCATGCCTGTAATCCCAGCTACTTGGGAGGCTGGGGCAGGTGAATCACTTGAACCTGGGAGGCAGAGGTTGCAGTGAGCCAAGACTGCATTATTGCACTACAGCCTGGGCAACAAGAGTAAAGCTCTGTCTTGAAAGAAAAAAAAAAAAAGAAAGAATGGAGTTGCACCTTTAGAGAGTGGTCTGCTTTCTAGCCACTGCCTTATGGAAATCAAGATGATAATGGAGTATGGATTCCAGGCACTGCATGAGTTGGTGACAAAGTCACCATCCTCTCTTCTTAGCCATGAGTGAAGTCTGAAAGAAAAATTGATTTCTTCTGTCAATGGCTTTGGGCCTGTCCTCCTCAGATTAAGAAAATTTTCATAAAATCCTACTGCATCTCATTGTCTAACAGCAATCTGTACTTCATTGCTCAAGGCTCAAGACAGTGTTGGAAAAATGACAAGGATAGCTCAAGTGGCATTTGAAAAAGAGATTATGGGGTGGTATGGGGTCGAGCTTGTTGGTACTATCCTCACCAGTGAAAAATACATGCTGACTTGCACCTCTTCTGGTTTATTCAATCATCAGATACAGCCTACTGGACCCTCAGGTATCCAGTGCTTTCAGAAGTCACCCTCTTGCCATTAGATCAAAACCAGAGTAGTAGTCATTTTATACTCTACTATCGATATATTAATACTTTTTGTAAGTTACACTATTGATAGGCTATTTCTAAGAATTGCTAACGCAAAGTGGCCTGTCAGTTTCCTCCAATTCGGGCCCAGTGATTTTTCTTAAAGGTTGTGTCCCCCAGTCTTTCTGTACCAGTCAGTCTGTGCTTATTCTGGGGTAACTAACTGCTCACAGATCTGCAACCTACTTGATTCCTCCCTTTATGTTTCAGCCTTCTACCTTCTGCCCCAACCTTAAGACTCTCAGATCTTTGGGGATCCAGCATCCATTCTCCTTTGTTTCATATTCCTACACTTGGCTGATGAATCATCTGTCCCTGCCCTCCCCTCCAAGAGTGGTGATCCAAGTGTGACTTGCTAGCCAATTAGTTGGCTAGAGCTTAAATGTCCCAAAGTGCCTACTTTTTTGAGTCCTCCAGGCCACATTAGCATGTAAACAGACATCAGAGATTGTGTGCATGGGTTTGTTTGTGGTGGGGGTGGGGGTGGGAGGTGTAAATTTGTGAATGGTTCCTGTGAAAATGTTTAATAGGGATGTTACTTACAGATACTAAAGGGCTAGCAAAGAGAAAGAAAATACAAAAACCGTTTTGTCTACAGAAAATGAATTTATGTCTGTTTACTCTTTATGGCTAATTTTACCACATACACAATAATAACTCTGAATGTTGTCAAGATAGGTCCGATGAAATTCGTTGTAAGGTATATTCACTCACAGTGTGCCATTGTGTTCAGCTGCGCTTGCACTTGTGTTGATTATTGACTATGGGCTTCTGCCCATGTATTCTGCTCACATGGAAAAAAAATAAGGGAACGTGACTCTAGTCTTTCTGAGATTAACTGCCTAGCTGCCTCCTTTCTTTTCTTTTGGCATTTGTTGGGTAGCTATATTGAATAGGTCACTGTGGGTACAAAGTACAAGAAAAGAAAGCATATGTAATCAAAGGTGTAAATTTCCCTAAAGCAGCATGAAACTTGTTCCTCAGTACTCAGCATATATAGCTTGTATTTACTCTACATGCCTTTTCTCTATTCTATTTACCACCTTTGATTCCTAGGAGATTAAATCTGCACAAATGTAGATACAGAGTAATACTCTGAACTTTAAAGTGTTATTTTCCTTCCTTTATCATCAATGATTATCATTTAAAGTTGTTATGAAGGCTTTGTGACAGAGGTTATACTAAAATTGAAAGTATAAGAACTTACTGAAAATCATGTAAAAATTAGCTATGTTTTTAATGTGGTTTCTCAGATTGATTAATTTATGCAATTGAATTGTTCTACCTCTTGTAAACATACATTCACACTTTGCAAACTTGCACACCTGCAAAGTAAAGTGTGGTGGTATTTGTGATATTATCATTGTTTCATCAAGAATGATAACTCAACCAGGTTACCCTTTAAATCTCACTTTGTAGGCCATTATATATCACCTTCCTGTCTCAATATAGTGGAAATTGATTCCATAAAGGGCTCAAAGACCAAAAGTACTTTAAACTTAATAATTTACAAACACATTGGCATTTATGAAGTGTTGTTATCTTAATTTGGAAATAGTTTGAAATTCTTATAAAGTTTAACAGTATATGAAAGCACTTCCCCAAAGACAGATGCATCAGTTTGGATATAGTAAATTTTTTGCTTTAGCAAAGTGTGTGTCTTTAAAAAATTGTTTTTCTCTGAATTGAAAATATGACATGAATATTCCCTTATAGCTTTCATTGTGACCTTTAACCAAGATTATAGAACTCGTGAAATAGTCTCTGTTTTTCCTTTTTCTTTCCTTTTTCACTATCTTCCATTGCTTTGTTCCCTTCTTTCTGCATTTATAAGCACTACATGTAATAGGAACCATGTCAGGTGCTAGGAATCCAGGAGTGAAAGGACACAATCTATTTTCTCAAGGGACCAAGTCTAGTTGAAGAGAAAAAAGAATTAAAAAACTAATTACACAGTACTGGTGGTGTAGTGGTCAGGAAAGACTTCTCGGAGGAGGTGGTGATTGAGCTGGAAGGATGAGTGATAGGTGACAAGGAGATAAAATTAATCTTACTTGTGATATTAATAGCTTTGGGGTATGATAGCTCTCTTTATACAAAAAAATGGCAGAGCAGGGAACTTGAGGTCGCTATCCCTCCATAAAAGCATCTAATAGAGCTGGAAAATACTGGCAGAATTAACTTTTGCAGAACTCTGGAATCTAGTCAAAGCTTATAACAACCAGGGGAAAGCTTAATGAAGAAAGAAGCTGCTGCCTTGCAGTAAGGGAGCTCTCTGGTATTTCAAATTGTCTACCTTTTCCCACACAATAGATTGGAGGTAGCCTTGAAAACAGCAGTCTGTACTCCTGGTGCAGGATGCCATGTGCCAGATGGTGCAATATGGGCCGTATTCTGAAAGAATTGTGGTTGTGTGTTTTAATCTTTCTGGAAGCTCCCGGAAGGACAGATGTATGGACTTACTTCTGTTTTGCCCACCTGACTCTGAATTTGCAGGGATGGGGCAGATTTCCAGGTGGCATTTACCAAAAGCATTTAAAGGCAAAACTGTTGGCTGTAGCAGCCTGGGACAAGGGATCGCAGTCAGGACAAGCAATAGGCAGACCAAAAACCCTGGGAAGAAAGAGGCTGAGAAAAAGACATATGTGGGTTTTAAAAAACTTTAATGTAAATCAGAGAATTGAGAAAACCTTGTACATGCCCAAGACTGGACATGCTCAGAAAAGGCCTGAAAAGACACTATAACTCTACTTGTTGCTGACTTTCAGGTTCCCCACAAACAAGGAAGTAAAGGCAAAGGCAGCATTATAAATGATCTGGGTAAGCATCGAGGGAGTTTCCCAAAACAAAATCAATCCTCAAAGAGTGGGAAAGTTTTAAAAATTCTTTCTCTTTTCTTAAAAAAAAAATTGGGGACTGGGCGTGGTGGCTCATGCCTGTAATCCCAGCACTTTGGGACAGGTTCAGCTTCTTCAGCAACAAGCAAGTTTGGTGGGGATGAGATACAAAAATAGGACCTCACCTATAAAACCAATGAAGCAAAATGAAGAAAACATGAACACTGCAGTAGTTTCCAAAGGAAAAACAGCATTTTCAAGGAAAAGTGGTGTTTCCAAAATTTCTTTCCAAAGGAATAATAGCATTTTCAAAGAAAAGTACCGTTCCTAAAATTCAACATAGCTTCTAACTCTAAAATCACACAACTATTCCCAGCCACGTACAGGGCATTTTCAGGAAAAGGAGTGAAACAAAAAGGAAAAGAAAAGACTTCATGACTTCAGCTTCTCCAGGGTGTTAACCAATCAGCATCAGCCATCCAGAATCTTACCACCTGCAAAACGTAAACACAATCAGAAGAAATCCCCTATTTAAAGAGCAAATATGATACTCAAAATTAGTCCATCTCTGTTCAAGTTAATGAATATAAATTTTCTTATCTGTATATCCACAATAATTTTTAAAAGGGCTAATTTGGGTAATGGGATAATAAATTATTTTTTAAATTTTTTTAATTTAATTTTTAATTTTGTCCATAATTTTGGTTTTAATTTTTCTGTGAAGTAAATAAGTTATATTTTAATCAGAAGGGGGTCTTAGGAAATTAGTTTCTCTTTGGAGTGTGTCCATTCTTACTTACCGTTCTGAAATCAGTGAGTTTGTCCTCCACTCTCAAATGGCACACGGGCGTTCTTGCATTTATAGCAGGCCAGACGCCATGAAAAATTCACGGCTTTACATGGGCATTTCCAATTTGCTGGAATTGGCAATGAGGCACACTTCTCCTGTTGCCAGGATCCTGAGACTTTATTCACTTTTGGTTGCTTGGCATTCTGCCCCTGAGGCTGCTGCTTCTTTGGGCTTTCTCTGACACCATGGCTCCTGCTGTCCCCCAGGGGAGTGTCCTGGGGCGTCTCTGGACCTTCTTCTGGTTTACAGCTCCTGCTGAACACCAGGGTGGCCATCGCCTGGGCCCCCTCTGGGTTTCTGTCCTGGTTGTAGCTTCTGCTGTCTCCCTGGGGGACAGTCCCCTGGGACGTCTCTGGACCTTCTTCCTTGATATGACTTTTGCTGCCCCCCAGGGGGACAGTCCCCTGGGGCTTCTTTTGACCTTCTGGTTTGCGTCTTTTGATAAACACCAGGGTGGCCATCCCCTGGGCCCTCTCTGAACTTCCTTGCTGGCTGTAGCTTCTGCTGTCTCCTTTGGGGACAGTCTCCTCAGGCCTCTCTGGACCTTCTGGTTTGTGGCTCCTTCTAAACCCCAGGATGGGCCTCCACTGGGCCCTCTTTGGACCTTCTTTCTGATTTTGTGTCTCTCTGGGCCCCTGGGGTCTTTCTGTGCCTTTTTCCTGCAAGTGGCTTCTGTGGCTCCACAGTGGGGCTGTCCCCTGGGGCCTCTCTGAATCTTCTTCTTGGTTTTGGCACCCACCGTCTCCAGGGACGGGTATTCCTTGGGACCTCTCTGAATCTTCTCCCTGGCTGTGGCTTCTGCTGTCTCCTAAAGGGAATGACCCCTGTAGGATCTCAGAACCTTCTCCCTGGATGCAGCTTCTCTGGTACCACAGAGGGGCCACCTCCTCCTGGAAGTCCACTGCAGCCCACTGGCAAGGTGGGTGGATCCCAGCATGAGGCATCTGAAGTGGGACTGCTGCTGCTTCTGCTCCCATGTCTGCAGCAGATGGTAGAGCTGGCAAGAATGGGGCTTCCATTGAAATTGGTGGTGGGCACGGACATGGATTTGGCACTGGCACTAGCTGAAGAGGCTGCATGGCCTTGGCCCAGGGACTCAGGGGTTCTGGCATAGGAAGAACATCTGTCAGGGTTGGCATCTGGGCATTAGCATGTAGCCCCATAGCCACCATCACTCTCTGCTGCTCTGTAGCCAAGGGCCATGCCGCAGCCCCATGCTGCTCTGTTTGCGGCCCAGCAGTTATTTCATGGGCCAGTGGAGCAGCCTGGGGAAACCTCTCAACCTGGAGCAGCCTCTGGTACAGCCCATCACGCTCATTCAGCGCCTGCTGCAGAGCGGACTGCGTGAAGTGCAGCTGCGTTGTCGCCTGTTCACACTCCAGGCGCAGCCGCTCCAGCTGGGAGGTCAGAGCCCAGGAGGCCGCCTGGCGCTCCTCCACATGCCCTTGCAGCCGCTGAACCTGGTACAGCAGCTGCTCCTGCTGCCCCGCGGCCACTCCCACACTCAAAGCCAACGCGCTCCAGGTGCAGGCCCTCTTAACGGACCGCGGCACTTTCGGGTCGGCAACAATGGCCCGAAGCCCGTCCTCTACCTCGTTCCACGGCCGCGAGCGGAAGGCCACGAAAAAGGCTGGGCCGCTGCCATCCCTGAGGACTTCATTGTTGATAAACCTGATCACATCACTGTGGCGGAACCCGCTAGTGTGGTCTCCAAAATTCACCGCCATGGCGGCTGTGGCCTAGTCAAGCAGCTGCCTCACGGGTGTTGCCTCGCCTGCGGCCGCCAACCAGTCCGTCCCTCCCTGCCCTGTCAGTCTTACTTTAGTCCTTGCTCAGTCCTGGCCTCCTCCTCGGCCTCCTTCCTCCCTCACTCCCTTGTTCTCACAAAGAGTGAAGCAGGTCCCCCTCGCCACACCAAACCGGACGAGCGACTCCGCGACACACCACAGAGAAAAGCTGAATCATGCGGCAAGGCCTGCTGGGACCCGGAAGGCCTGCTGGGACCCGGAAGGCCTGCTGGGACCAGCTTCCTTTGGCGCTGCGCTCCACACAGGGAAAATGGGTGTACTGCAGACTGCAGTGACCCGACAGAAACTTTGTTTCCAAGAGCTTAGAGAGGATAATATTCAGCATCATGGAGTGCCTTGGTGCGATCTAGGCTCACTGCAACCTCAGCCTCCTGAGTAGCTGGGAATACATGTGCATGCCACCAGTCGACAGAATGAGACTCCATCTCAAAAAAAAAAAAAAAAGAAAAGAACAGCATCCATGTATACAACTATCCAACTTCATCACCTGGCTAGGAATTCATTCCATGATGCTGAATATTATCCTCTCTAAGCTCTTGGAAACAAAGTTTCTGTCGGGTCACTGCAGTCTGCAGTACACCCATTTTCCCTGTGTGGAGCGCAGCGCCAAAGGAAGCTGGTCCCAGCAGGCCTTCCGGGTCCCAGCAGGCCTTCCGGGTCCCAGCAGGCCTTGCCGCATGATTCAGCTTTTCTCTGTGGTGTGTCGCGGAGTCGCTCGTCCGGTTTGGTGTGGCGAGGGGGACCTGCTTCACTCTTTGTGAGAACAAGGGAGTGAGGGAGGAAGGAGGCCGAGGAGGAGGCCAGGACTGAGCAAGGACTAAAGTAAGACTGACAGGGCAGGGAGGGACGGACTGGTTGGCGGCCGCAGGCGAGGCAACACCCGTGAGGCAGCTGCTTGACTAGGCCACAGCCGCCATGGCGGTGAATTTTGGAGACCACACTAGCGGGTTCCGCCACAGTGATGTGATCAGGTTTATCAACAATGAAGTCCTCAGGGATGGCAGCGGCCCAGCCTTTTTCGTGGCCTTCCGCTCGCGGCCGTGGAACGAGGTAGAGGACGGGCTTCGGGCCATTGTTGCCGACCCGAAAGTGCCGCGGTCCGTTAAGAGGGCCTGCACCTGGAGCGCGTTGGCTTTGAGTGTGGGAGTGGCCGCGGGGCAGCAGGAGCAGCTGCTGTACCAGGTTCAGCGGCTGCAAGGGCATGTGGAGGAGCGCCAGGCGGCCTCCTGGGCTCTGACCTCCCAGCTGGAGCGGCTGCGCCTGGAGTGTGAACAGGCGACAACGCAGCTGCACTTCACGCAGTCCGCTCTGCAGCAGGCGCTGAATGAGCGTGATGGGCTGTACCAGAGGCTGCTCCAGGTTGAGAGGTTTCCCCAGGCTGCTCCACTGGCCCATGAAATAACTGCTGGGCCGCAAACAGAGCAGCATGGGGCTGCGGCATGGCCCTTGGCTACAGAGCAGCAGAGAGTGATGGTGGCTATGGGGCTACATGCTAATGCCCAGATGCCAACCCTGACAGATGTTCTTCCTATGCCAGAACCCCTGAGTCCCTGGGCCAAGGCCATGCAGCCTCTTCAGCTAGTGCCAGTGCCAAATCCATGTCCGTGCCCACCACCAATTTCAATGGAAGCCCCATTCTTGCCAGCTCTACCATCTGCTGCAGACATGGGAGCAGAAGCAGCAGCAGTCCCACTTCAGATGCCTCATGCTGGGATCCACCCACCTTGCCAGTGGGCTGCAGTGGACTTCCAGGAGGAGGTGGCCCCTCTGTGGTACCAGAGAAGCTGCATCCAGGGAGAAGGTTCTGAGATCCTACAGGGGTCATTCCCTTTAGGAGACAGCAGAAGCCACAGCCAGGGAGAAGATTCAGAGAGGTCCCAAGGAATACCCGTCCCTGGAGACGGTGGGTGCCAAAACCAAGAAGAAGATTCAGAGAGGCCCCAGGGGACAGCCCCACTGTGGAGCCACAGAAGCCACTTGCAGGAAAAAGGCACAGAAAGACCCCAGGGGCCCAGAGAGACACAAAATCAGAAAGAAGGTCCAAAGAGGGCCCAGTGGAGGCCCATCCTGGGGTTTAGAAGGAGCCACAAACCAGAAGGTCCAGAGAGGCCTGAGGAGACTGTCCCCAAAGGAGACAGCAGAAGCTACAGCCAGCAAGGAAGTTCAGAGAGGGCCCAGGGGATGGCCACCCTGGTGTTTATCAAAAGACGCAAACCAGAAGGTCAAAAGAAGCCCCAGGGGACTGTCCCCCTGGGGGGCAGCAAAAGTCATATCAAGGAAGAAGGTCCAGAGACGTCCCAGGGGACTGTCCCCCAGGGAGACAGCAGAAGCTACAACCAGGACAGAAACCCAGAGGGGGCCCAGGCGATGGCCACCCTGGTGTTCAGCAGGAGCTGTAAACCAGAAGAAGGTCCAGAGACGCCCCAGGACACTCCCCTGGGGGACAGCAGGAGCCATGGTGTCAGAGAAAGCCCAAAGAAGCAGCAGCCTCAGGGGCAGAATGCCAAGCAACCAAAAGTGAATAAAGTCTCAGGATCCTGGCAACAGGAGAAGTGTGCCTCATTGCCAATTCCAGCAAATTGGAAATGCCCATGTAAAGCCGTGAATTTTTCATGGCGTCTGGCCTGCTATAAATGCAAGAACGCCCGTGTGCCATTTGAGAGTGGAGGACAAACTCACTGATTTCAGAACGGTAAGTAAGAATGGACACACTCCAAAGAGAAACTAATTTCCTAAGACCCCCTTCTGATTAAAATATAACTTATTTACTTCACAGAAAAATTAAAACCAAAATTATGGACAAAATTAAAAATTAAATTAAAAAAATTTAAAAAATAATTTATTATCCCATTACCCAAATTAGCCCTTTTAAAAATTATTGTGGATATACAGATAAGAAAATTTATATTCATTAACTTGAACAGAGATGGACTAATTTTGAGTATCATATTTGCTCTTTAAATAGGGGATTTCTTCTGATTGTGTTTACGTTTTGCAGGTGGTAAGATTCTGGATGGCTGATGCTGATTGGTTAACACCCTGGAGAAGCTGAAGTCATGAAGTCTTTTCTTTTCCTTTTTGTTTCACTCCTTTTCCTGAAAATGCCCTGTACGTGGCTGGGAATAGTTGTGTGATTTTAGAGTTAGAAGCTATGTTGAATTTTAGGAACGGTACTTTTCTTTGAAAATGCTATTATTCCTTTGGAAAGAAATTTTGGAAACACCACTTTTCCTTGAAAATGCTGTTTTTCCTTTGGAAACTACTGCAGTGTTCATGTTTTCTTCATTTTGCTTCATTGGTTTTATAGGTGAGGTCCTATTTTTGTATCTCATCCCCACCAAACTTGCTTGTTGCTGAAGAAGCTGAACCTGTCCCATTAGAAGATCTTCCAAGGCCAAAAGAAATAGCACCTCACTTCTGATTGGCGCACACCTCAGTAAGACTGATGGCAGACTACCGGCTGCAGTGGAGAGGAGTGAGAGGAAATCAGAGAAGAAGATGGTTTGACATTCATTAGGGGGAAAAGGAAGAGCAGAATTGTTTTGTTAGGATTGAATTTTTCCATTGGGGCAAGGAATTAACTTAGAAGAGTTTGGGGGGTTGTAGGTTAAGTTGTATAGATAATAGGAATTTTGATAAATTTCATTTAGTTTCTTAAGTTGTTACTGTCTAGTATGTAATAGGAGCTAGACTTATATGTTTTTATTTGGTGCACATGTTATTATTTGGTGCACACATCATAATCCTTGTTGCTGAGTGGTTAGAAGATAGGAAAGAGCATAATTTGGGATACAAATTAGATCAGGGGTATCTTCTTTGCCTTGCATGTAGTGTGGCCTTGGGAAAAACCAATTTAAATAGCATCTAGATCCATTTTTGCAGTTTTGTGGGCAATGTGAAAGAGACTTTCACGAATGGCCTTGAGTAACCAAACTGCTAGTCTCATTGATTTGCAGGTGAGACAAGCAGTGGCAAAGTTCAGGAAAGTGGCCTTACAGAAGTGCAGGCGGAGATTTTCTGATTTTCTGCTGATATCCTCCTTTGAGATGGATAGCTACTTCCTTGGTTGCCCACCAGCCTGCTTGAAAGACCGCTGGCATATCTTGAAGAAAGAGTGCTCTAGGGAGTGTTCACTGTGTACTCGAGGCCTCAGCCTCGGACTGCCCACATTCCAGATCCCTTTCAGTCAATAGTGGATGAAGAACAAAATGAATCTCAAGGACAGACAGACAGACAGACAGACAGACATAAAGGGCTATGGATGGTTTTTCTCTTGGGAGGACTAATTGGGTTAAAAATAAAACTGGACTGGGGTAAGCACTCTTGGGAATGCCCCTGGACCCCTCCTCTTTTGTGTGTTCTCTGTAGACTCCCCCAAGGCTGTTGGTGCAAGGCAATGAGGGAACCAGGGTGGAGCTCAGGAGCGGTTGGTTAGATCTGCCTTCGGTCCAAGCTAAAGATGTTACAAGTTTTCCCATGAAATCCCACCCAGCTCATCAAGATCAACTTTTGTCAGGGTTTTTCTGATCCTACCTGGTAATAAAGGGTGTGCACTTGATTCCTGTGTCTTCTGCGTAATGTGTATCTCAGGGCAAGTTTTCTTAGAGGTGGAAGCTTAAATTTGCATCTTTCCTCACTACCACTGCAGTTCAATCTCGTTTACTACTGGAGGGGCCTTCCTCTTATGAGGAATTACCCAAGAAGGACCTTCAATCTATCGTGATTGTCCTTTCTACCCTCACTGTCCAGGTCCACATAGTCCCTTGAAGGTGAGCATGTCTTCTGCTCCGGGTGGTAGGGCATGAGGGGTGAGTTGGGGAGGGTGCTTCTGCCTAGGCTGAGAGCTCTGATGCCTGGGGTCCAGCCTCCTATGTACCAGGAAGTCATTTCCCTGAGATCCTGTCTCTCTGAGGTCCCCTGATGTCCCATGAACAGAAATTTCCCTCCTGCATTTCTGTCTTCCAAATCACTGTCCCCTGTCCCCTATGCATAATCCTATCAAGGTGTTTAGGCTGTAGCCTGTCTGCTCATAAGACAAATGTTCCCTGAGGTGAAGGGGTGTGGAGGCCAGCTACCTGCTTGGTACGGGGACAGAGAACAAAAGTGACTTTGCCTCACCAGCATTTTCACTTTCCTCAGAATCATGATTACTGGGAGGGCCTTGGTTACTTTGGAGGGGAGCACTTCAGAGGAAGAGTTTAGGAATGTCAGACCCAAAACTAGGATTTCTGAATTGGAGGCAGGTTTTAAGATACTCATGCGGGCTGATAGCTACTTGGAATTTTGGGAAGATAGGACACGGATGAGACTTGGACATAATCCATTTTCAGCATAATCCATTTTCATATACTAGCAGGTCATTCCAGATTTCACTATAATTGTTCTTTTATGGCTTCAAAATGGACCCTGTTGTTCACTGGCATGCTTTTAGGCCTTTATGAAAACAGATTCACCCTGTGCATAGCTTTTATATATTTTAATACAATTACACAGTCTTTCAGGGTCAATCTTTTTCAAAACAATCTGAATCATTGAGGCTGTCAAATCACTGCTCTCTTCCAGGCTGCACACATGCAAGAAAAGGCAGCAGGTTTCTATGGCATAAACCTGAGCTTTGGAGTCAGAGAAAACTAAGTTCAACTACATGATCTATTATTCACTAGCTGTGTGACCCTAAAGAATTTACTGAACGTCTCAGCCCCACAAGTGTTAGTTCCCTTTTGCTATCCTTTGGGTTCTTCTCTGGATGCTGCAGTCATGAGTGTAAGTGATTATTAATCATAGTAAGAGCTACCATTAGAGTGCTTACTATGTGTTCGATACTTTAAGCACATTGTCCCTTTTGATGACTCTAAGGTATTACAGGTACCCATAGTAATAGTTGTCAAAGTGTGTACTAGTGCCTCCAATTTAAAGGTGTGGGAATACCCAAATTTGGGACTTAATGAAGCCTGGCTTCAAAATGAAATGTTACTAGTTCCACTGTCTGTACTCTACATCATATCACATCACCTAACGTTTTACACTTACTGAGGAATACATGTGCATTTTAACAGGGATCATAATACCTAAACCCAAAGGAACGACTGTGATGGAGGGACTTTGAGGTATAGTGGCAGTCTGGCAGTTATGGAGCTGCTCTTTTAGAATATCTCAAATTTTGGCTGGACGTGGTGGCCGAAGCCTGTAATCCCAGCGCTTTGGGAGACCGAGGTGGGCAGATCACCTGAGGTCAGGAGTTCGAGGCCAGCCTGACCAATATGGTGAAACCACGTCTCTACTAAAAATATAAAAATTAGCCACGTGTAGTGGCATGCGCCTGTAGTTCCAGCTACTTGGGAGGCTGAGACAGGAGAATTGCTAGAACCCAGGAGCTAGAGGTTGCAGTGAGCTGAGGTCATGCCACTGTACTCCAGCCTGGGTGACAGAGCGAGACTCAGTCTCATTTTTTAAAAAAAGAATATCTCAAATTTTGGGATATGTGACCACCTAGGCTGCCACTGAGTAGGGCCATTTATTATCTTAGTCACCAGGACTGCAAAATAAGGGCAATGATATAGGCAGTGGGCATGACTTGTGCTGATTCAGCAGACTGAACTTATGAAAAGTTTACATCTGAGTTTAATATTAGGATAGGACATATCTTGACTACTTACCTAAAGTCTTTCTGAATATTCAGTTTTTGTTTTAAGTGAGTAAGGTGCCAGCTGTAAAAGCCCAATATACAGTATGAATATATATTTTTTTCAATGAGGAAGGAGGAAAAAATGAGATTTCAAAAACTTGACACATGTTGCCAAATGGGGATCTTTTTTAAATTATGGTGCTAAATCTACAACAGAATGGCAAAGAAACGCATAACATCCTTATCACATGCTGTGTAAAGACTCAACACAGAATGGTAGCAGCTGCTTCTTATGTGGTACAGGCACTGCATAACGCTCTTTAGCGGTTTCTTCACTTCTAGCATGTGATACAGTAAGTGCATCCACTGGCACTAAAACTCACATACACTTGATACTCAACAGCCCTAGTCTGTGACCTTATGAGGTTGCTGTTGAACAGATTTTTCTCATTCTCTATACTGTTTATTCTTTGGTGTTTAAGAAAAGGGTTCAGAAATAGTGAAATGGACATATGAAGTGTTGCTGCACTGGGTATTAATAACCCAGGAGACCTAGTACAATTTTTCGAGTACAACTCCCTATTTGGTTTGTTGTTGAAGGTACTCTCTTCAATGGACTTAAGAATTACTCTAGTAGGTCAGATCCTGGCCCACCTAAGCTACCTTCTCTGGGGCATAAAGCAATTGTGGAAAAGCACCATATCATCCTGAGTGATAATTTTAAAGGTAGGCAATGCCACTAGAAATCTCTAGCTTCTTTTATTACTTTATATATCAAGTAAACAGCATATATTCAGGGTGGGATTGTTATAAGCTGGACAATATGCTTTACTCTGTGGAAGTGATCTTTATTACTCTCAGAGACCTCGTATTCTATTAGAAGAAATAAGGTAAATATTCATCAAACAGTAGTTCTCAGTCTTTTCATCAATTGTTCCATCATATTTTTTCACTTGCAGATGCCAATTTTTAAAAGATTCTGCACATCAAAGGACATCAATTAATAAGAGATTACTCATTCATTTAAAATTTAAAAAGCCTATATAACTATAAAGTTCTTTTATACAAAGTTGATAAAATTCTAACCCAAAGCAGCCACTTGCCATTTTTCATTTAGGATTTTGGTGAGGATTCAATGAATTCTATTGTTATTATTATTACCATTATTATAATTACATGTAGCCTAATCACAGGCAAATGTACCATTTTACTAGGCCCTTTGTAATGCTGACAATACCTCAAAATCAATATTACCTTCTTAAAATTCTATGAACCTTGGGAACACAAGTTAGGAATAACCTCTGTAGAAAGCTAGTGGTTTTAATACATGTTAAATGCCAGTAAGTGCTAAAGGATTTTACAGGAGTGCTGTATGTACCATTTTGGGTTCCAAAGCTTCCATGATAGCCAGATGGTTCCGAATTGTGTACGCAGTCTGCAAAAAAGTTGCTAGGAAAATTGACTTTGTTTTACTTCGAAATAATATGTGGTATTACAGCTTCACTTGAGACATTTTCCAGCCCTTTGTTGCTTGTGTCTATATCTACGATTTTAGATTTTACTCTTTATTCTGCACTACATTATAAAAATAATTGTACACAAGGCAGACATCTGTGATTACTTTTGTGGTAGGCAGCATTAAACCATATCCCAGTGTTTATAAAATGATGACAAAGAGCTCTCTGAGGTTTTTGTCTGTAAGTAAAAGTTTTAGGAGATTTAATCTCATTTATCTTTTGCTTGATACATGTATTTATTTTGATAATTTCAGTGAACCATATTGGTTCTAGGAAGGAAAAAGATTGAACAAGTATTGAAAATTTCATACCTTTACCACTGCAATTCCTGATATTGTCTAGACAGTTTTGAAACTTCAGAACATTTATGACTTGCTTTGTAAAAGACTCATAGTATTGAATTCCCTGCTCATCAATGATTCTAGCATTTTTTCATGAAATATTTATTACTGAGAAGGAAATGCAAAGTAACGTCAATGTTGCATATGTAACTATAAAATGCATTTAGAAACCTACCACTAGCCATTTTGTTTGCTGGGTTATAGTATTTCATTTGTATTTACAAAACTGCTTAGGGAAATGTTTACAGTCCATTTCATTCCTTTCCTTCCCCAAATTTTGGTATTTGTGATGTATAGATCAAAGTGGTCATCTGTGTTTGGAAACATCAGAGGTTTCTTTAAAAATGTTCAGGCAAAAATATATAGACAAACTGGTAGTCTCTTAGACTTGAATCTTTTCGATTAAAGCTCCAGTGGTGAAATTTTATTCTTGAGCTTTCAAGAAAGAGAACAGATTTTTTTAGATGAAGAGCTGCAGCCTCATTTACAAAGAAGTAATATTTTCTTGTGCTGATAGTATACCCTGAGGGCCCCCACCCAGGGTAAAGAGGCAGAAAGAAGATTCTGCCATGATCCAAAGGTAACTGGTTGATGAGCCCAAAAGAAGTACATGATGATTTATGTCTGTCAGGTGTGGGATGTGAAGAGCTGTATCTATAAACCAAAATGAGGCAGACCACAGGGTAGACATTGGTAACTCATGAATGTGAAAGAAGTCAATGTCAGAAATAATATATTTCTTGAGGCAAATTGGAAGCCATACTCTCTGCAGAGGGTTCTCTCTATAAAGTGAAAGAAGAGGCGGAAAGGAAGGGAGCTAACTAGGTGCTAGGTACTCTTTTAGGTTCTGGGTGTGCTAAGAGGAATTTGACATCATCCCTGTCTTCTGGGTGTTCACAGGCTAGTAGGAAAAAACAATCTTGTGTATCTGTTAGGCTCCAGGCACATTGCATATGCCATTACATTTATCTTCATGGAAAAGATAAAAACTAGTGAGGAGTGGCCCTCATTTGGTGTAGAAAAGGTTCAAAAAGGAGAATGTGGTGATAAGAACTTAACTGTGTATGCAGGTCT